CGTGAGCGCTATTCTGATATAAAATATTTCGTTACGCCGCGACACTGTCGCGGGACGCTTTTCTAAAAAGATAGATGTACAGCGACAGGATCGGATCTTATCGAGCGTCCTGGATATACACGATAAAAGTGAAGGAGGTATTCTAGGACACGGTGCCCCCCATCTAAATTTAACGACTCGGATTTTGCTCGTTAATTATACGTCACGAAACTATCCTCCACGAGAGAGGCTGTTATCTTTAACTCTCCGTCCCATATACACCTTAATTAGAGCATTGATCTCAAGATTATGTGTTATATGATCCATATATATTCGTAGTGATACGTGCGCGCGCGCGCACTACTCGACTATGTAAAAACTCATTCTCGCGTTAATTTTAATACAAGAGATTCGTGTTATATTCCTGTCTTCGGTAACTTTAGCTTCTAATGCCGTGCATGGAAAAAATACTATTGAATCAGATTGGTCAACAACGCGCCATACTTAGGCCATATATATATATATATACATGTATACTAATGCCCGAGAATGTAGTTCGACCCCAAGTCGAAATTTTAACCCTACTTTCCGTCTCAACTTTCTAATATCTGTACATTCTGAAGGATCAGTGTAGGTTTAATATACATGGAAACAGAAGTCCTACTTAGCGCCTCTGAATGGTAGAAACCGCACAAAATGCCATTTGTAGATCCTGAAAGAACTCCAACGATCTGTAAATTAAATAGAATCAAGAGAGGTTGATGTAGGGCTTCAGAGCGTCACAGTAAGCGTTAAATGGAATATTGAGTTCAGAAAAAGGCTCAATATTTCGACTCGGGATGTGCTGGTTTCAGCAATATTGCTGTTAAATCAAGAAGATTTATTCCAATCACGGTGCTGTTGGCCAATTCAACAGTTTCTTTTTTTATGCAAAGTTCAAACAAGGTTTCTTCGCGCGAAATCGTCTTATTGGAAATTGAGCGTATTCTGGAAATGGCTAACGATCCGTCGAATAATTAAACGCACGACTTATGTTGAATGAATCTAATTCGTCCGGTGGGCGCTGCGAAAGGTTACGTTACCTGTAATCTGTGAACGAAGAAGACAGGTCAGAGTTCGGGAACTTCACTCGCTGATCTTACCGTTATGCTGTACGTCGCGCGGCTTAAATTACGCGTTCGTGCAGTACCTACAGCAGCAGCAGCGCGTTTGCGTTCGACTAATTAACCGACGAATGACGGACACCACGTTCGATACACACACGTGTCACCGACACACGCCGCCGATGACTCCCCGTGAGTCATTCGCAGCCGGCTTTGACTCAGACGCGGATACCGCGCGCGGCGATTCAATTAACGGGTCTGCTCGTAATTGCTTAACCCGGTCGACGGTCACGATCGCAGTCGATTCCTCTGCTTGCCCTTGCCTCCCGGGAAGGAAACGGATCCCGAAGGCAAGGATCTTTCAAGACACGAGAAACGATCTACGACAAAGAGAATTCAACAGATCGCTCCTTTGTCTTTGAGACCAACCATGGAGAGGCTCTTTCTCTTCCTCGAGTCGAGTCTTCCCTGCAAAATTGCCTCGGAGTATCGGTCAGCGCAAAGAGAAGGCGGGTGGCAAAGTGAAGGAAGGGAGAGAGACACCGAGGAAAGGAGGGGTTGCGGATCTTAATTCTTCCCGGAACGGTCGTTGCGTCCGGGAGAGATTACGAACGTGTCGAGACTCACGAAAAATAATTGCTTGCATTACCAACGACGAGCAGCCGGTACTCTCTGTCTCTCTCTATTTATCTCTCTCTTTCTCTTTCTTTTTCTTCCCTCGTACGTCATTCTACACGGTCACCACCCCTATGGTCATGAGCGCGGAAAGGGCAGAAGGGACCCCGCGTCCCCCTCGCGCACTTCACAGGCGGCACGGACGACGTATTTATCGTCGGTAGTTATGCGAAGGCAACGTAATTCCAGCCGCCGCCTGGGAAAAACGAATCGCCGTCAGGTCCTTCGCCGCGCTTGATTGGCGATTACAATGACCGCTGATTGCGCACGATAATTAACTCTGCGGCAGTGTTAATGCACGACGTTATTATATTATTATTATTATTATTACTGTGCAATAACGGTACACGTGCGGTATCGTTATCGTTATTACCGGGATCTTTTCAAACTAGCTAAGTCTACGCCAATTAAAATATTAGCGTGGACTTTGTCGTCTTTCTCTTTTTCTTTCTTTTTCTCTTTCTGATGTAAAAAGAGATATGTCGAGTGTCCTGTAAGAATTTTCAAGTAGGACTATCATCAAGGTTAAGCATTTACGCATAAATTATGATACTTACTAGCTATTAATTATGTATAAACGATATAAACTATGTACGAGATATCACCTATGTCATCTCTTCCTCCCTCCCTCCCTCCCTTTCTCTCTCTCTCTCTCTCTCTCTCTCTCTCTCTCTCTCTCTCTCTCTTAAAAGTCTTAAATCTAGCAATCTGTCACATAATGAGATGAAAATTTCATGCAATTCCTGTTCTTTTTCGACACATTACATTTATAATGAATACCCAAGACAGATATTCAATTACTCTATCCTGTATATTTCAATATAATTTGCAATATTCTATATACTTTATACATCACTTATTAGAAAAAAAAGACTATGTATACATCACGTAGACAATTCATGTAAACGTAATCTTGACATCTACGGCACAATGCTGATTACTATATATCAATAAAACGTTCCTAAGTAGAGGCGGCACTCACTTTTTAAAGGACCGATGGTGGCGTTCTTTTTTCGAAACTTTGAGCGGTATCGCAGGCAAAGCTGTGGTTCTCGGTAGCGAAGGGTGCTGTAGAAAATGTCTTTTTCGAATAAACGCCAATATATGACCAGCTGCCTATCTACCCAGCTATCCTAGCTACCTATCTTCCTTCTTTTTCATTTCGCTGTGCCCTTCGCGCGGGAGAAATCATTCTCTCGAGGAACGAGAACGTCATCGACGGAGATTCGCACGCGTTGCGTGCGTCCGCGCCGTGGAAAGCCGTGAATGGTACCATGATGGTAACGCACGCGGGTGGGACGCGATACGTCTCGTCGGGATGTGTACGTACGTACGTACGTACGTATGTATGTATGTATGTATGTATGCCCCGGCGCGCCGTCAATGCCCGCAAGCGAGACGCAGGGGTTTTATTGATAGACGACACAAGCGTATCGAGTGGGCGTCGATAGTCGTCACCGCGCGGCGACGAGTACTGCGTGACGCACGCGTGGACATTCGGCCTGGAACAGCGATTCGGCATACTTGTCAGAGACGAGTGAGTAATGGCCCGTTAATACGCACGAATATTTTTGTGTTCGCGATTATACTACACACCGACGTGTCTCGCGAAACGTGAGAATGACTCCCAATGATTCACAGTTCCCGAGAAAACTAAGTATCTCAAACTTGCTTGGGTTAACTTGAATCAGCTGGCAATAAATATCACTAGTTAATTCCTGGTGTTTGATCTTTTTATTATCCAGATACTTCTCTCTTTTCCGCCTCTGTCGAAGTTCAATTTTTTAGTCTCACGTGTTTAGTTTACAAATATCGAATATACCTTGAATATTATCGATTAATTATATCGTAAGGTGTTAATCGGAATTATCTTTTCTGATATCATGCTCAAAGAATCTAGAGGAAAGTATCTACAAATTATTGATCTAATTATATATCCTGTTAATCTGTGATAGTCCTTATAAGTCTACTATCTGCGAATGGCACCACGAGGCATCATTCATACCAATCACACCTATAAGTTACCGATCAGCATAATAGTTAGCAGGTAGAATTAGTACAATAGCATTAGGTAGGATCGATAAGTTCGCACCGTTGCTTACGACGAGAGAAAGCGACGATGCATCGACCGTCTGCTTGTTTGCCTGCCTGCTTGCCTGCCTGCTTGCCCGTTGCAACAACATTCCTTTGTTAGAAACCAATTCCTTAGCCAATAAGGCCCGTCTGTGTGTGACTCATAACGCGACTGCCGAGTGACTCAGGCAGCGAGATCGCCAGCAATGTCCTGGCCGGGAGAGAGAGGACGTGGCATCCGAACCTGCAGCTGCATAAGCGGCGCTGTCCACTAAATTCTCAGAACGGCCGTTTTCTACGATACTGTAAATTGGGTATACACGGGCAGGGCCGGAATTTTTTGCGAACGGTGCAAGGCACTTTCTGAAAAAGATGCTCTGCGGCCAGACTACTCTCGAGTTTAATCCGCTTCAAATTGAAATTCATTCTATCTACTGTTCTTTCAGAAAGCAGCACAGATAAAAATTTCAAATATAAGAATGAAATACGACCGGCTCTATGCGAAAAATGCACAAAAATCGCTTATAATAGAAACGTCCCCTGATGTGCTCTTTGCTATTGTCCTTGTTGCTAAAGGGATACCTGAGAAATCAGACAGGACCTTCGACTTTGGCGCGATGAAATGATGGTTACGATTCGCAAGACGGAAATATCGGTTGTGCTCAAAATGAAGAGAGGATAGGTCGTCGAAGAACACGTTCTCACGCTCATATCAACCGCGGTATCGCGCATATCGATGTGTCGTGATATCATCCACCTCACGAAAGGAAAGTCAGACGCAGCCTCGAGCTTCGTCACGACACCTGCACACAACACACGTTCGCTCGCCTTCCCTCCAGGCAACCCAAATATTTCCGGTTCACCTTGCGACTGAACGCTCCGCGCGCGCGGTCGAGCCGCTCAAACGAGCAGACGCGCAGCTGGCAGCGCACGCAAGAACAGATTTTTTGTTCATCTCATCCGCACTCATCTCCCGCAATCAGGGTGGCGCTTATCGCACTGGCTGATCCGTTGTCGATTCCACGTGGCTGCGAAGCGGCGAGGACAATATGGCGAAAACACGCATCTTGCGAGGAACATTGTTTTTCGATACACAGGTCGTCGCTCGATATTCGGTGTTTCCTCTTGCCCGTCGATAAGTCTATCCTACGGTTGAGAAGTGACGTGCGCTTCCGTAAAAAATATCACTTTATTTTGCGATTGATCGATGAGCCGTTACTATACGAAAAACAAAATGACGACGATTAGCTTTAACAACGTAAATGCTACATTGTTGACGGTATTCGTAGGTGGATATCCCATAGGTGTATACCATCGAAGACGAACGGGTTTGTTTCTCACGCCGTGCGTTTTGCGCACATAGTACATATGTGTGTACGTTACAACCATTTCTCTCTCTCTCTCTATCTCTCACTCTCTCACTCTCTCTATTATTACTTATCTTTACCACAGTAATTCATCTGTACATTAACACTCCATGAAAAGCAGTGTCTTAAATTTGTCATATGTAAACTATCTGTACACTTAAACATAGATTTAACGTAACACTATCAATATATCAATTATCCTTGTATTCGTTTATGAACAAACGAATGTAATCATCCTTTACGAACAGTATTGCAGCAAAGTGCTATTTTACGTACGATTATCATATATATATTGTACAATTATTAGAACATGCTTAAAATATATATATATATATATATATATATATATATATATATATATATATATATATATATATGTGTGTACATATATACGTACTAGAAATGGACTTTATATGTGCAAACATGGAAAATTTTGTATAAACTTCTAAAATTTTCTACACAAAATTGTAATTGGAGTAATTACTTCACGTGTATTGATACAATCGCGAGAAAATTGTTTTTGCTATAACGCTATTATAAAATACAAATTGAAAATTAACTACAAATGGTTTTAAAAGGCCGAGTAAATTGTTAAGTAATATAATCATCATTTAATTTAGAAATGCTGCCTAGTGTCTTGTGCAGTATAAGTTGAGGAACAACAACGGATGTCATTGTCAAACTTTATACTAAAATCTTCGTTTTTAATTATAACATATGCGCACACAAATGTTTAAGTATGCAATAGAGGCAATAAAGATTTGTATTCTTTCCAAAATAATGAACATTGTAGTACATTTGCAGATGCAGGCCTAAAAGTTATTTTAATTCTCACAAATGTGCTTTCCACATATATTATTCGTCGGCCATGAACTGTATTCGTTCATGCGAAGATAAATGTGATAAAATTTGTTTGCTAAGTAAATGTAATTGTGACGTCAAAATAGTAGTCGAGACAGTAAAAAATAGTGTTATAAAATTTTTGTCGATTAACAGATTATTTCACACACAAGCAAAATGAGTCAGTATAATCTAGTTAATTTATAAATAAAGTGGTCAGCACGCATACATTTCGTTTTCATGATTTTTACGCGTTTACTGTTTATAGTATGTCTGCAAGGTATATGTTTTCTTCCATCTGTATAAAATTATTTGCCCAAAGATAAATTCTTTTATTGATATATAAATAAAAGATATCATAAATTTGAAAATGTTCGTTTTATACACATATAAATATTTGTCCATATCTAATAATAGATATTGTATAAATTAATAATAGTTTCTTGCGACGATCATTAATGTGCAAAACATAAATGTGTATCAAAATGCACGAAAGAGATAATACAAATAAATGTATAAACAAATACGATGGATTTCCTCTTTTGTATAATTGCTTACAAAAAAAAGATGCATCTCCAAGTACGAGATGTGTATCGATATACTTTGCAAACATCACTATAGATAGTAATCAAGGAAAATTTTCTCTTTCTCTTTCTCTCCTGCTGTATTTCTACGACATCGACTCACTGTATTACATCTCGTCGTATTGAAATTTTCACTCACCAACGACGACGACGTATTCAAAGCTTGATGGAAGATCTTCGCAATTTGTAATTTAAGGAGAATTTAATAAAACGAATATATCGCACGCATCAGCAGAACGCATCAGCGATACAGGCGTGCAAAATTTCGCAGAGCGGTAGTAACAGATTTCGCTGACTCTGCACTATATATAGAAAAAAGACAAGGTAAAAGGACATAAATTAGTCAAGTACTACTACTACATATATATCGGCATATATATTGTTATATATGATACTTACCTCGTAATTGTATTATGAAATTCGAGCAGTTGTTCGGGCGTGGCTGTAGGAGAACCACTCGCATTCTGCGATGGCATTGTCTTGATAGCTTCTTCCAGCCATTTTGACGTGAGCTGAGAAAAGAGAAAAGAGGGCAAAATTCGTATGCGAGAAAGTGAAAAGTAAAGTGGACCATACGGGCTCTTACCTCTCTATCATGTTGGACAAGTTCTATAATTACATCTGCTATATCGGACAACATGTAAGACGGTAATGAAAACACCGAGGCGTGCAGTAATTTTATAACGAATGTATGACCCTTCTCTTGTAATATGCTTTGCACCATTTGTCGCCGTCTCGTGTAATCCGGACGATCCTAAGTAAATGCGTGTCAGAAGTGTGATACAATTACTTATCTAATAGTGTGAATTACACGCCGTATGCTGGAAAATTTTTATTGTAACTTTGATTTAACCACAAGACAATTACCTTGTGAATACGACCGCTGTTCAAGAGGTCGTAAAAGAATTTCATTACTGAGCTGTTAGCATCCCTGTGGTCCAAACTGCATGCCATTATCGCACAATCTACAATGCTCCCGATAATGGGAGATTGTAACAAGGGAACAGGTGCTCTTTGAAGGAATCTGTTGAAGAGACGAAACATCAAGCTTACGATGAAAACAGTAAAAAATAATTATTGGTAATAATCAATCGTTACTCTACCTGGCGCATAGTCTGAATAAATCGTCTACTGTGTCCGGATGATTCTTTAAACCATCCTCTTCCTCAAGAAGAGCGAAAGTTGGACCGATGAGAGCTTGTAACATATTCAATAAATTCCACACACATATTGCGTCTTTGGCGAATTCGTCCACTAATATAGATCCGAGATACAAAAAGCAACTATGTTGATTTAATGTATACAACGGTACAATCTGTAGAAAAGCAGACGAATTGCGATACACATCAAGCAAAAAAGCAATAAGAATCGTATCGTTACTATGTATCTTGTTGAAGCAAGTACCTCTTTTATGATCGGCTCGAGCAAATGGGCCGAACGTGGACCTACGCAACGTATAGCGAAGCGTATACAACGGCAACATCTCTCCATGATTCGTACATCCCGCTGATATGTCGTGCACACATTAGATAGTATTGGCCACATCTACGATCGCGTGAATGAACGATAATTTAAATATTATTAATACTGGTTAATTATATATAATATATTATTATAATATTATTAATCTTGTTAATTATACACTCTTTCTCTCTTTTTCTTTCTTGTTTCGTTAATACTCACTTCGGTGACTATGCCTTCACAAGGATGAGGCTTATTGGGATCTTCCGCTACTGCAGGCTTAGTATGTTTAAATACAGTGGCTAATCTATCCAGCCATATCACAGGATCAGTCTTTGTTCCTCTCTCAATTGGAATTCTGTCCGATAGGAGTGTCCATAGAGAAGTCGCGTGGAAACCACACAGTTCTCTCATTGCTCTGGTGACCTCTTCTTCTGGTAATCTCGCCAATACTACCGACACTCCTATCATAATATAATCGGACGTGTTGTAATTTGGATATTTATGAAATAAGGAAATACGACGCAAAATATCGATATATAAATAATAATTTTGATCGAAATACCTTTTAATAGGCCAAGGGCTGCGTCATAATTAATAGCAAAATTATCCAAAGAACATGCTATTTGAAGAAGTCCAGAGAAATGTGATGCCATATGCAATGGACAGGCTGTACAAATACTTAATAACGCACCTGAGGCGGCATTTCCTAAACCTTTTTGATTTAAACACGCCAAGAGGAAATTCAACACTGGCTCTAAAATAAGGAACACATTAGAATGTTGTAGAGAAAGTATCCAAATCGATATCCAGCGTTCGCATTCTCACCTAAAGATCGTGGATGGCTATCTATCCATTCGCATAGTTCACCTAATAGAAGAATACTGGTGTGCCGCACAGCTATGTGGGTATTTTCTGGTAAATTGAGTATAGCCTCTACTACCTTGGGTACCACATCGTTTTCTTCCCTGTCATGCAAAAACGAAAACCCACAGTTTATATGAATTTGCATGCTACCTCCCATGTATGAATTTGCATGCTATTTCGACCGCGATTAATGAAGACATTTACTCATAATTGAGACTTACGGTAGAATGTTCTTTGCCACTGCTTGCATTATAAAAAGTGCAGCTTCGGTCGAATCCCAAGTAGGTGTATGTATAGGTTGACCTTGTGGTCCAGGTCCACCGGTCAATGACGAGAACATTTGTCGGAAACAGTGGCTACTTCCGACTATGAATACTACGTCTTTGATCAGATCCGACACGCGAAATCGGAAGTCAGCAAATTCTTCACCTCCCACACCTTCTTCCACGAGACCCAACTGGCGATTAACGAATAATTCTTGTAATTGTCATTCCACTGACTGCGTAATCTGTGAATTATTTATCTTAATAAAATGCTATCAAAAATACTAACGTGATCAGGTTCCATTTGACAATGCCTACAGAGAGCACCGATCAGTCTCTCAATGTGAGGCCGAAATATAGCATTGAGATCGTCGCTATTCTTGTGATAAAGAACCTCCGACAGCCGATACCACAAATTGAACGATATTTGTCCAACCTTGAAAGAGAGATACAAAGTAATCGATTGCACTCGTCATGCAATCAACAGTACAATACCTCATAATCATGGTGACCAACACATGTTAGGACAAGGTCTAAAATTTTGATGGCATAATGCTGTTTCCCTCCTTCACTACCCGCCACCATGGTGTCCAGAAAAGTTTCAGCTAATTCCGTAAATATTCGGCAGTAATTTATAGATCTGCAATATATTTTTTAACGATTAAACTGCCGCTGCGAACGCATTCGAGCGATCCGAGGAAAACTTACTTTTCTGTGTCCTCGTGCGCGACAGACAAGTGATACGGTTGTTCCAGATTCATCACACTTGCGAAGAGACAGGATTGCAATTGTCGTAACTGCACGCTCAGCTGGTTTTCGCTATCGTGATTTGCATTATTATCTGCATATAACGCCTGCAGAATCACACAAATGCAATCGGAGGCTGCTTCGTGCAATTGCGAACCCTCCATGTGATTGCCGAGTATCTAAAACGCATTTAATGAAGAAAGACATGACTGCTGAACATTCACAAAATAAAACATTCGCTCAAGAGATTTACCTGCAAAGCATAAGCGACAACGTCGCTCGAGGGTATAGCTTCCAGTGGTATTGCATGAACAGTTATCCAACTGGTGAAACATCGCAAAGTAGTGACTCGTATTTGTACATTTTCTCCACCATTCTTCACACACATTTTCTGTAATTACACTATATATGAAATAATGGACAACTAAAGTCAAAGTGAACAAACATACCTATACATTATTGTTAACAAACGCGATACATAACATTAACTTACATACCAGAAACTCTGTTAAGATATCTGCACTTGCTTTAAGTTCGAGCAATATATGTTGTCTATGATTAGCTCCTAATCTGTAAACATAAACAAACAAAATATTCTTGATTTTTACACTGTCACTTCTTCCTTTCTCTTTTGCTTTCTGACATCAAGTAAAAAATAATGTGCTGTACCTAAGTGATCTGGAATTTACTTCTTCTGGGAGCACTGTCAGTATTTCAAGTAATGGCCACAGATAAATGGTGCTCCCCCCAAACCTATTAATTAAATCCACTACTGGCTTTTGCCATGAAGACATTTGTAGGGCCAGATCTGCTAATGCTAAGCACAACTGTAAATTTGAAAACATCAAACAGTTAATGAAAGTTAAACGGAACGGAGAATTTATGATAAACTCGTCTTAAATATTTCTTAAGGCTAAAACATAATAATATTAAAATATAGAGAATAGAAACCTGTGTGACAATAGCATTATTAGTATTCTCATTAATTTGTAATATATGGTCCATCAACGAATCCCTCAGTGAAGCATGAGCTTCTGGAGGTAATTCGTGAAAAGAAAGTTGGATTTTGGTACGCATTGTTTGCGCAGCAAAATAACAGGACTGTACATCCCGTTTTTGATGAAGCATTTCGTCAGCTATCTTCCATGCGTATACCTGCAAACATATAGATACAATAAGCTTAAAGATAATTGTAATTAAACGATTAATCTCTTAACATTTAACTGAAGAACACTCGAGGCAAATAGCCCTATATAAATTAACAGTTACAGAGAGAGAAAGATGGAAAATATATGAAGTGTCTCAATAATAAAAAGAGAAATAAAACTTCGCTTTCATTTGATATTTTACGGGCTTAAATGCTACAGAGTAAGAAGGTTAAGTCAGATCTACGATCGACAAAGTGTACATATGCTGCCCAAGTTATCTGATCGTAACCTTAACCTAACCATGCACGTAAGTCGTGTAATTGAAATCTTTGACTTACGAAAGATACGTCGTCCGGGAAACGTGAGTCCAACGCGAAGAGTTAACAAAGATCTACGTGATTGAATGTATTCGTACAAGACTGACATATTGTTGATGTCGCGTTTGTTATAATTTGTTCGCGTCGTATCGTAACGACAAATAAGATTTCTTTCGCAGCGGCACAACATCCTCCTCTTAAAGTTGGAAAGTATTTATCTAGTGTACCGCTGATTCTCAATACTGATAACATAAATGCACCGAGAGCATACACACGCACTTATAATCGACACGATAACACGATGTTTGCGCTTATCACGCCGGACGCGGTGAGATCCATTCGCGGATAAAAACGACCGTATGAACTCACCGATTTCTGCAGCTCCCCTAGCCATGCTGACGCTTTCACTGGTTCGTTTGGATTTGTATTATTATATAAAGAGTACACGGCCTGGTAAGTGGCCTCCAGGGTCGGCGGCGACTCCATCCTTCAAAGAATTGTGGCGTTCCGCGAAATCTCCATACAGCCTACCCCAACCGTGACAAATAATTGTAGTTGTACGTTCACTGTAATTAGTACAAACTGAAACAGTTTCCCGAGCAGTTCTCCACAGTGCTCCGTTCTGAACCGCGAATCTAACCTCTAAAGGAAACGGACAGCACAGTAACGAACGACAATTCCGAACGGGCGGCACGGTGGCTCGTTAGGAGGAATTCATATTGCGTTTAAGAACTCATGAATTGAATGTGGATTCTGCTTAAGGATATATCTGAACTATATAAAAATAGTACCAATTTGATAAAACTTTGGGTAACTTTTCCTTTATTATCTATAATATAGTGAAAAAAATTTCAAGTAGATTTTAACCTAAATCGTTGAAGAGTAATTATTATGTTAATTTTACACGTGTTCTTATAGCAAAAGCAACTTTCCTGAATGTAATGGCTCCTGCACACTGGACGCGGTAATGCTTGCCGCGCGGAGGAAGTTTGCGCGACAGCCAATCAATATGCTGCTTTCCGTAATAACCTTCTAGCTTTTACGGAAAAACAACATATTTGGCTGTCGCGGGGACTTCCGCCGCGCGGCAAGCATTACCGCGTCTTGTGTGCAGAAGCCATAAGGTGCGTTCCCACTTAGCGCGTCACGCGTCGAGTCGTCCGTCGCAGATCAATCAAATCGTCCCATTTTATTGTCTAACTTTACGCGAATAAAATGGAACGATTTTATTGGTCCACGAAGAACGACGCGACGCGTGACGTGCTAAGTGGGAACGCACCCTAATGAATAAACACCAATGACTTAGGGCTATCGCACACAATTAACATAACTGCATATGCATAGCATAAGATCGTATGGACCAATGAGCATCGAATATTAAGCATCGAACACCAATATGGCGATTTAATACTCGATGCTCATTGGTACATACGGTCTTATGCTATGCATATGCAGTTATGTCAATTTGTGTGCGATAGCCCTTAGGCCGCGTTCCGTTTCACGCATATGCGCGCATTTATCTATAGTTCGTGTTACGTATATTGTAGACAATGCGCGCATAATGCGTGAAACGGAACGCAACCATATATACATAGACCAAGCATTCCTATACTTCTGGGTAGCAATCATGAATCTTTCACGTGAACTTCATTTTAATTTTTCATTTTTCACTGTAATGGCTCCTGCACACAGGACGTGGTAATGCTTGCCGCGCGGCGAAAGTCCGCGCGATAACCAATCAATATGTTGTTTTTTTGTAAGAGCTAGAAGATTATTATGAAAAGTAGCATATTGATTGGCTATCGCGCGAATTTCCGCCACGCGGCAAGCATTACCGCGCCCTGTGTACAGGAGCCATAAATATCTCGCTTCGCGAGGCAAAGCGACATTTGTTTCGGCCAGTTCTTTTATTTTTAATAGAATTGCGTCGAATGAATTTATTTTCATCAAACTCGGAGATAAGGATAGTTATTCTAATAACGTGTTCGAGACTTTTAGAGCATATATATATATGGAGGAAGAATTGCGTATGCTTTCTGTAGACCAAGGCTGCGTTCCGAAATGCACTGCCAGTACTGAAAATCTATAGTTCATGTTACGTATATTATAAAATTTCAGTACTAGCAGTAAATTTCTGAACGCAGTCCAAAAGTGTCTCCAAGATCTGTGCGAGAAAAAAAGATATACATTCCTATTCCTCCTCTGTGCGCATACGCCAACATGCGTCAGTTGTTGCTGGACTACAAAATTATTGGTTTCAATATTTTTTTACTTGAATTCTATTAACTTTACCGAAAAATAGCAAGAGATAAAAATTGTTTATTTTCCTCTCTCTCTCTCTCATCCCGCCTCAAAAGGCAGCGCGCGTTCCAGGTAGTATATATTTCAATGATTTAAGTTGACCAAAGTTGGTAGAAACGGGTAAAGTTGGTAGAACTGCATAAGCAGTTCTCTAAACCAATACGTGGTTTCCACTCTTCATATCTGACATACAGTGAAGCAAGATGTCTGCTATCAGCGTGATACGAGTTGACAACTTGTCAAACTGAAGGCGGATAATCGCGCTGCACGATGAGTGATTATAAGATGCCGATAATCGAACCGACTATAGACTACACAAAGGTGTCGACAATGAGAAAAATTCTAACGTTCACTTCGTTGCTATTTCTCTGTTTGCATGCTATCGACCGCAAACAATGACGCCCGTTATAATGTTTTGACGATAACAGTAGAATGCAGAAGGGAGCGATAGATCTGAAATGATTTGTATTTTAGGTACCGCCGATCAATCAAAAGCGAACGGTTTCTTTTATCAATCATTTTATTACTCATACCGTTACGTTTCTGAATAAGTTTGCCTTGTCCTGCGAGGAGAGACTGTACGAGTTTGAAAATAAGTTGCAAAAGTTAGAAGCATCGTTAGAGATACTAGAGTCGCGGGTACGTAAACATGTTTTGCTATGCGAGCGTGTGTAAGAAAAGATTGCAATGAGATAGAAACCACTGCGTACACAGGAATAAATTGCCTTTCACAGAATCAAATATCTTTTTCAAATGTCTCGCTTTGTTTCTTTGCTTAGCTGTCCTCTATATCTGGTTTAGAACAAGAATATCGTAAAGAATTGGATAATGTTCAGAATAATGTGAGTAAGTCAGAAGAAATAGAGGCATGTCAAGTGAATGAACCTGATGATAGAGAGGTAGAGCCTAAAGATGAAGAGGAAGATGAGCATGCTGTAAGCAAAGATCCTCGTTATGAGAAATTCTTTAAAATGATTCATTTTGGTGTACCAAAACAAGCAGTCAGACTAAAGATGGAGCAGGAAGGACTGGATGCATCTGTACTGGAGTAAGTGTGATCACATCTCTTTTTCCCCATACTAATGATTGTATTTATGACACTAGTCTGCAATTAGTTGAGATTAACCATTAGTATTGAATGTACTAACACATGTAAATATTGACTACAGAATTTAATTAAAACTATCTACCTGTTATGAACCATGATTTTAATTTGGCAAGAAATGTATTTGTTGTTACATACACAAATTATCTTAATATCCCATTTCTCTCCAACCATGCAGACACGGTATCAAAATAATCTTGCTATTTTTATTTCTTTATCCTATTAGCAGTCCACAACAGGTAGTTTCTATACAACGGCCATCAGATAAAAGTGAGAATCAAGATGAATAATGTTACTAAATAGCATTACTTATGTTAGATATATCAAGTGATTTTTACTTTATACAGCTTATTGAGAAGAAATAAAGAAATACACAAATCCCTATAGGTTTACTTTATTTCTTATTAAATACAGAGGAGAGTACGTTCAGTGAGTGCCTTAGAATTGAATCATTTGTCCCTGAAAATGGAACAATTATCATTAATGTTTATCTATAATGCTCCACTTAAGTTTGTATGTGACTTTAAATGTGTTTGTACTCACCTTCCTCTTTTTATCACCACCCAGCTCGAAATGCTTGCACCTCTTCAATGGAATTTGTTTCCTGTACTTGCATTCTGTACATTCCATTCTGAGTACAATTTTCTTTGTAGTCTTTGCCTATAGTAACGTAATAAAATATATTTACATTTAGAACAGAAAAAACATATAATACTAGTAAATATAATTTATCATCGATATTGATCACTCTTTAATGATTATAAAATATTGTCAATATTCAATCATTTGTCAATACTTGATAAGTAATTTGATCAACAAATATCAATATAACAAGATATCAATAAATTTGCATAGCAGCAACTTGTTGTCTAAGTTATAACGACTAATATTGTACACAAAGCAATAAAGACTAAACTGCAATTTATCTCGAGGTATTTCATGATAATACGTGTACATGCATGTCACATACCTTCTTCCTGAAAATAGGCTTAGTTTGACCACCGAAACCCTGCTGCTTGCGGTCATAACGTCTTCTACCTTGCGAAGCGCGTCTCTCCTTGCTTTTCTTGTACTGCGTTACCTTATGGTTCTTGTGTACTTTGCATTTTTTGCAAAAAGTACGTCTCTGCTTCGGCACGTTAACCTATAAGAAATCAGTGAAAGCATAGAGTTGAGAAGTGTTAAAATCGCGATTTCGCTGCTCATCGTTGACGCGAGTTGACTTTAGGCTACATCTCGTTCAATTCAATTGATCGAATTTGTTAGAAAACATGCAATATTGCAGACCGATGAATCAAAACATATTTAATGTTAGCGCGAGCCGATAAGGTTATGTTTCCGACCAACGGAGATCAATCGCTTCTCGTCGGATCGAAAAATATTCATGGGAAATTCTGATGGACATTAATTAAATGCGAAAGCGAATTTCACGGGGCAACACGCGTAACGATGGCCAAAATATACGCGGATCAAGAACATTCGCGGAAATCACATCTTAACCCACCATGTTGCTTCTGAACGAAAGAAACGTGAAAGAGGAAATACGATTGTCGATGCTCTACCGGACGTGGCGGCGGCGCGACGCGGCGCGGCGCGGCGAGCGCGCGGCGCGCATGCGCACAGCGAAGTTGTTGCAACAAATTCCGAAACCTTGAATAAATTTTTTTCGTTATACACGTATAAATATTAATACGATGGACTCGTGACAACGTTCCGCGAAATTGATCACGTGTGAAAAGCGACGCGGGAAGGAACGCGTGCGGCACCGGATATCCGGTTTTGGAGCAGCGCGAAACTGCGATTACGTTTATACTTGCCACTAACAACTGGCGTGAAAATTGGTTTAATATATAAGACACTCAATCAATAAGCGCAATTTTATATTAAGCCGCCCTTCGTTATTTGCGTTACACGGCGTACAAATAAAGCGCGCAGCTTTGTTGCGATTTTAGCCCGACAATTCTGACCCAGTCACCGCGACAGTCCTACGCGATGAGTAACAATGTCGTTTGTACAATCTCAACCGACACGCAGTACTCTGCATGTGTATATGCATACGTGTATGTGTGTGTATGTCAAAGGACAAATATATGTCGCTCTTAAAGGGGAGGGTCGGATGAGCGGTTTTTGTTTTTATCGAATCTTCCCCGCGGTGTGGCGGCGATGAAAGCGACTGACAATCGGTCGGCGTGCGCGACCAGATGTAACCGGCATGATTCTTCGGGTTAATTGGGATGGAAGCGCAATTGGCGTCGCTTCGAGGCGGCACAATCCTTCAGCGAATAATTCGAGCAGGTTGCACCTTAAAATTTTGACTGGCAGATGCGCGTCTGCACGGTTGCGTGCACGTTGCGTGTTCCCTCTGTCTATAGATTAGGGATCGCTTACAATGCGGCCGCAGTTACGTTTCAAAAACATTTATTGACGAATTCGATAAAATTTTTTGCTAGTCCACGCGAAGGAAATAGATACACGATCGATCCATAGACTGACTTTAAAACGTAATTGTGCGAGCGTATTGTAGACGACTCTTAAGTCCACGGCGCGTACGATATGAAATTCGCCGCGGATTATCGCGAGACGTGCGATCGCACTCGCACGTCGATCGTGGGTCGTGCGATCGTTTCGCACGCCCTTCGCGCCTCGGCGCTCATCGATTTTATGCGAACACGTGGACTAGCTGAAACCTACGTAGGACGACTCGCAGCGCCGAGGCTTATTTGAATCGAGCGACATAGCCTCGAACCGGACGTCTCGCTCGGACTACGAACTCTCGAACCCCTCGTCCTCCGCGGGATTTAATTTTATTTGTGCGCCGGGCGAGCGCGTTACATGCGTAAACCCTTCGGGAAATCGTGAAAGATCGTATCGCGTAATAATACGGACGATCGCGTACACCGGCAACGCTCTACAGTGCAATGAGACACCGACCAATCAGGGATTTATCGAGTTTCAAAGCCGCGCCATCTTCATTTTTGAACAAAGCCAGGTTGGACATGCTAGGAGCCGGGATCGAGTAGTAGTCCGCTTTGCGCTATTCGCGCCACACTCGTCGGTACACGGCACGCTCCACTCCTGACTGGTTCGGCTCCTCCGTCACTCGCCCCCTCTCAGTTTCTCATTCGACCTCACTCTTTCTTTCTCTCTCTTTCTCTCTCTCTCACTTGTTCTCGCGCTCCGTCTCCCTCTTGCTCGCTTGCGCGCTCCCTCTCTCTTCCTCTGCCTCTATCTGTCTCTCTTTCCCCTTCCCCGCGTTTTCCCTCTCCGTCGTTGCCCCTCAGGTCTTCGCCTGACGACGCTGCTCTCTCGGGCATTCCGCCGGAAGCCAACGTCGCGTGAGGACACGTATCCGAGGTATCGTAAAACGCGTACACGCCGCAGCCGCCGCCGCCGCCGCCGCCGCAATCGTCGCCGCTTTCTAGTACACTCGAGCCGAGTTCGAGTCGCGAAACAGAGTTTATCGTACGAGTACCGACGCGCAGAAGACGATTCAACCGACATGAGCACCAAGGAAAACAACGAGGTCGCGGTCGAGAAGGTGACGGAGAACGATAAGGCATCCGGAGACGCAAAGTGCGAAATCAAAGGGATCAAGAGGCCAGCCGAGGTGAGTAAAGCGCTACTCCATCGTGAGAATCGTCGTCGGGGGGATCGTCGTCCTTGCTCGCGCGTGAACGCGCGCTTCGCTCATCTCTTCTGGTACACGATACGCGGTAATACACGAAGTACGCTCGTTGCGAAGCGCGCCATGCCACCGTCGCCGTCGCGAAGTTATTTGATCGCATGGACGCGCTCCAACGAGATCGCGGACTCTGCTCGCGAATAGCGCCGACACGGCAGAGTTTTCCCGCCGGCGTGCGTTTCCCATGCATCATCGTGGACGTCGTCGACGTCGTCGTCGACCGGCGGTACGCGTCGAAATGTGTGTTCTCACTCACTCTCTCTCTTTCTTTCTCTCTCTCTGCCTTGCTTCGTGATTCGCGCCGCCGAGCGACGGAACCGCGGCGAGAGAACGCCGCGCCGGCCGGCGTTTCTCCGGCCGGACTCCATATTTTCGTTAGCGAGTGGCTCCGAGCGTAGTCGAGTCCGCTCGATCGGACGCGCCGCGTGCAGGGCACGTCTTTTCCGGCGCGCAGTGTTTTTACGCCACGAGCGCGTAAGAGCGCGCAAGGGACGCCATTGCATTATTCGTCAAGCCGCCGCGCGAGCGCGACGATTCTCCCTCTCTCTCCCTCTCTTTCCTTCTCGTGTTCTGTTTCTCTGCTCGCTCGATGGCCGACGACTACGACGACGACTACGACGACTACGATGATGATGATAATGACGATGGCGATGACTACTCCTCTACCGGCCACCGTCTATAATTATCAGTTCTGCGTTTCGTGTATCCAAAGTTGAAATTCGAGGCAACGTGAGATCTACGTGTTTGCGCGTGCATGGAAAGGGATAGAGAGATAGATAGATAGAGAGGAGTTATTTGGCAGAGCAAGAAGGAAAGAGAAAGACAGACGAAAGAGAGAACGATTGAGTAGTACAGGAAAGAATCTCGGCGGCTGCTAGCGCCATGTGCTCGTTTCTCGCATGTCTCTCTCTCTCTCTGCCCATCTCTGTTTTTCCTTCTACCTATCTCTTTCTTTCTCTGTTCACGTTCAGCAAGTTCGTCTCCTCTTGCGGTTTTTAACACGGCACTTCTCTTGCTGTTCTCGCTACTTTGTGTATAGTTAGAATCGCTCGTCGGACGCCATTTTTATGTGCCAATATAGCGTCACCATCCGGAAAAGCGGACGTCCCGCGCATTTTTCCGATCGTCGTGGTAGTCTGCCACCATTACCATCACTACTACTACCGTCACTCGTCGCTGTGTCGGTTTCCATTATGGCGGCCGAAACCAAGCCCGCGTTCATCGTTGTCTTCTCTCTCTCTCTGTCTCTCTCGCTCGCTCTTGCGCGCTCTCTCTCTCTCCCTCTCGATCTATTTCTTTCTTTCTCTCTCTCTCTCTCTCCTGTTACGCTCCCACGCGTACACTTGCTCTTTTCATTGTAATTGATCGATAATTCGCTATAAGGGGGTTAATCACACACGACAGTCGATCGATAGACGACCGACGCGTATCTACTTCAGGTCGACGCGTTGCCCTGAAATTGTTTACCGATTTGCGTGCATAAACATCACGACGAAGGCTTCCTTTTCCTCTCGCTCCCTCTATCGGACTCTTTCTCACTCCCCCTCTCTCTTTCTCCCCATCTGTCTCCCTCTTTCTTTTTCTCTATCCATCCGTCTATCTTTCTCTCTCACACCGTCCTCGGCTCTGCCAGTGTATAGCGGCGGCGGTGGCTCGTTCTCGCTCTCTCTTTCTCTTTCTCTCTTTCGTCGAAGGTACCCCACTTGCGCAGCTAGCGGCAACGCCGTGCATTATATACCCGGTGTGCTCTCCTGCCTCCCTGTTCTTTTCGCGGCTATGGCGGTCGCGCGCATCGGCGCGTTACTACGAACCTTCGAGAAAACATCGTTGCCGCGATTTTTCATCTTAGATCGCGGCAGTGCCGTCGGGCGCGTCGCCGATACGCCGTGGCGAGGGGCCGGCGGGAGCAAGGGGGCCTTATTTTTAGCCGATAATTTACCGTGCGATTGCGTTTCCTACGCGTGAGGCGCGCAATGGACGCTGGCGGAAATCCGCAAAAACCGTGGTCACAACTATATGTACGGCCACGACGGCCGCGTTGTCGGCGTCTTTCCCGGCGCGTCACGTGGAAAGACCGAAGCATGCAACGCATACATACATACGTACAGTACGCACGGTACGCATAAGTTGACGCGGCCTTATTACGTCGATGACTCCTCCTGAGAGTATCTATTAATTCGCTAGATCGCGCGCGGTCGAATGAACGAGGAGGCGAGGAGGAAGAGGAAGAGGAGGAGGAAGCGAGAAAGAGAGGGCGGAGGGAGGGAGAGAGAGAGAGAGAAGTTCTGGAAAAGGACAGGCGACGACGGCGCGCGTCTCTTCGGACGCGGCGTCGAACGTGCACTGTTACCGACGCGCACGATTTCCGAGCGTTCCTTTGGGAAACAACACCGTCTATGAGTACACGCAATCACTATCGCTCCGGAAGATGGGAGAGAGAAAGAGAAGAAAAAAAGGGAGAAAAGTCCGAGGTCAAGGCAGAAAATCGCGTTTGTACGAAAGGGAACATACGCTCTCCAAGTAATAACGCGCTTTTCAGTTCGCGTTCTGAAATTGTTGTTACGATATCGATACTTCGTACGAACTCTGGTGATTCGAGCGAGGACGTCGGCGGCTGCGGCTGCGATGGCCGGCGTTCGATATAGGAGAGAAGGCGGGAAAGGCGTCGCGTCGATCGGATAACGCAGTTTATGGATCGATGTGCCGTGAGCCAGAAATAACTTATTGCATTCAATGGTTATCATCATGTCTCGTGGGCGCTCGGTTTCGAGCGCGCGTACCTTTTTATCGCTTAATTATCTTAATTAGTGTTGTTACGGCGCTTCGAACGCCGCGTCTCGGCCGATTGGTCGTTCCCCGTTATTTGGCCGTTTTTCTCCGGCGCCTTCGCCACTGTCACCTAAAGCACCACTTGATTCAGCAGAATTCAGCCGACCAACCAGCCACCGATCTCGGCAAGAGCCCAAATGTCGCTTTTAGCAACCGCGTTGCCGGAGACATCGCCGATCTCGCCGATAATCCGGTATACTTAAACGTCACGCGATAATTACATAACGGCTATTCATTGCGTCGGTCGGCTAGTGAGAAGAAACGCGAGAACAAGTCTATGCGATAGGTTATGAACGTCGTTGGGTTATCTGGCGAGACCTCGTGATTGGGAACGGGCAGATAGGTTTAATCGCGCGGGCATAACAAGCGACGATGACGATGACGACGACGACTACGACGACAGTGGCGGCGTTGTTGTCGCCGTTGTTTAGCGGCCGACAGTACGAATACTACACCGTTGTCATTCGCGTCGAGAACATTTACTCCTTGTCGAGCGAGGAGGGTAGGTAGACGACGACTGCGAGAGTGATCGGCGGATTCGGAGTAACGCGCGCGTGCGCGCGTCAGCTCGTTGATCGGGTTTCCATTGTTTGTAGAACGCAGTCGGTAACCGATCCTTCATTAGCAGTTTATTGCAACAGGTCGATTCCGTATATGGCGATACGATTACTGCGAATAGTATGAGACAGAGAGAGAGAGAGAGAGAGAGAGAGAGACAGAGAGAAAGAGAGAATGAACGTAAAAGGGAGGGACAGAGATCATAACGTTGATTCAGCGTTCGATCTCGCTTCAACGCACTCTCGCTTCCATCGTGAAAGCGAATCGCGCATCGATTACTTCCGACATTATCGCCATTCGATCGATTACGATCTCGACACGTTCGTCCTTGCGTGAAGACCATCGATTTTTTCTTCCTCCCTCTCTCTTTCTCTCTCTCTCTCTCTCTCTCTCTCTCTTTCTCTCTCTCTCTCTTTCTCTCTCCGTCGCGCCGTAACGTCCACGTGATGTCGGTCTCGCGGAATTATCGTTCTCGGTTCCCTCCGCTTTAGATTTGTACTCTTACACGAAAGCATCGCGTTGCACGACACTCGGGCCCGGTATCTTCCTCCTTGCTATCCCCCTTCCGTCTCTCTCTCTTTCTATATATATATATATATATATATATATATATATATATATATATATATATATATTCTATCTATCTACCTATCTATCTATCTATCTATCTATCTATCTATCTTTCTCACACTGCTCGCCTTTGCGCGAGGTTATACGTAGCGCGAATGTATCCCCGCCACGCCATGCGCCTCCGTCATCTGCCAATCACCGCGGCCTTCTCACTGCGCGTCGCCGGTCTCCGCGTTTCCGATTGGTCGGCGCACCTTCGCGCGCGCATCCGAAGCTGCTTTCTCGTACCCGCCGATACGAACGGCGCGTGTATACTATTACGCCAAGCAGCCGCTGCCGCCACCACCGCCACCATGGTCGGCCAGTAACGCCGTATGGCCACGAGTCTGGCGTTACCGGCACGACTCTCCTTTCTTCCTCTCTCTCTCTTTCTTTTTCTACCTTTCTCTCTCTTTCTCTACCTCGCTCGCTCGCTCTCATCATCGTCGTCATCATCGTAGTCGTGCGAAAAGCGGAGCGACGCCGGCCGAATGTCGGAAACCGTCACAAGACGACGCGCTTGTCTCGTGATATTGGAGCGGATGCTCGCCTTACCGCGTTTTTTCCGCAGCACACTCTCCGCGAAACGGCTCGCCTTGCCTTTCTCTCTCTCTCTCTCTCTCTCTCGCGATAAATTGCATTATCGCAGTATCACGATGATACTACGAGAACGACTGGGAGTGTGCGGACATACGCAGACAAGATGTTTCCCCGACGTGCGAATAAATTCGGGGCGAACTCTGCTCTCTCTCTCTCTCTCTCTCTCTCTCTCTCTCTGTTCCTTCCCCTTCTCCCCCTCCCACCGAAATCGATAAACTATGATGCTTATTGCGTTATGGCCGTTGTATCACTACGGGCTATGGGGACTGGATCAAGGGCATGCTCCTATATTACGGCTCTCGGCGGAGAATTAAGGTTGCGCGTGGGTGACGACGATGGGCGCCCCGGTGGATTCTCCCGCGTCCAACTGTCTCCATAGTTTGAGCTTGAACTCTCTTGCTCTGGTGGAACGTCCGATTATCAAATCGGTCCGTTTCGTTCTTGAATCGGCGTGCGCGCGTCGATAAGTGTCGCGAGAGAAGTGCCGGAGAGAAAGAGAGAGGGACAGAGAGGGAGAGAGAGCCGCGGGAAAAGAGGAGGCCCGTTTAACGCTAAGCGTTTATCGGCAAAGTCGCGACGCGGTCTCTACTACTACCTGTTCTTCGCGTTTTCGGCCGGATCGCTCGGTAGACGCGCGACCCCCTCCGCCATTTCCCTTTTCCTGTCCCGCCGTATTTTAACGGGTAGGGAAAGTCCCCACCACCTCCCTTTTCGTCGCCACCGTATTTCTTGGCGGGAAGGGACCTCCTCGCCGCCCGCCGCGTACGTACGCTTTCCTCTCTGTCCTTGTCTTCCCCGCTGAGGCCGCTTCCACCGCCGAATTTTCTTTCTATCTTCTTATCGTCGCTCCGACGTTGAAAAAGGGGATACGCTTTGCACGAGCGATGGAACGGACGAGTAAAACTTGATACTCTTGCGCGTTGAGATACACTCAACGTAGTTTGCAGTTCAGGATCTGCACATATCGCGTTGAGTTAATCTGTTCATGCCTGTTTGCAGGAGAAGAACGAAGAGACGAAGAAACAAAAGAAAGAGGAGAATGGAGACGGAGAGGTAGAAGAGGAGGAATTGGAAGAGGAGATCGAAGAAGAAGAGGAAGTTGACGGTGACGGTGAGGAGGATGACGAAGACGATGACATACCGGAAGGTGAAGATGATTTGGAAGAGGGTGAAGGTAATTTGAACGATTTCTCTGTTTTTCTCCGCGCGTTCGAACGAGCACCCCACCGTTCACTCTTCGGCACTTTTGTCATTTCGTTACAGAAGAGGAAGATGACGACGCGGAAGGTGAAGTGGAAGGTGAAGTAGAAGACGAAGAGGAGGACGCATAATGAAGAAAGGGGGAAAATATGTAATTAAGAAGGGAGGCGTTAGGCACGTGACGACATCATCGTCGATTTTCGGCAGTTTCAGCAAACTTACTCTCATATTGAGTGGTTGGTAATAATGTTGATATCCATCGTGCCCAATCCATGTTACTGGATCCTTCCGACCTACGACTAAAAATTACCACCTCACCAGAATTGTGGCGGGCTGACACGCATTAGATGCGATCGCAATTCTATTTGTCTTGGCTCATCGCAATTCTGGTCGTCTAGCCGTCACCAAATGCTGTCAGGTAGTTTGAATGATAACCATATATTCGTCCTGAGGACTAGATGAGTTCGATCTTATCTTCTATCTAGGCTTTTATTTCGATCGTTTATACGTTCGTTTGTTCACTCGTTCGTTCGTTCGTTCGTTCGTTCGTGCGTTCGTTCGTTCACTCGTTCGTGCGTTCGTTCGTTCGTTCGTTCGCTCGCTCGCTCGCTCGCTCGCTCGCTCGTTCGTTCGTTCGCTGGCTCGCTCGCGCGCTCGCTCACACGGTTCCCAAGACGAATCTATCGTTTTATCCGAACCACCTACTAACCGGTATTTGCCGTCATCTGGCTTTCTTCGCGTGACCGTTTTATAATGAAAACTTATTTAAGAAATAAAAAATATTATATTTAAATAGTTGTAAAATGGACATTTATGGTGATTTTTTTTTACATTAAAATCAAATTTACGTTTGTAGTTCGACGGATGTCTCTCACCTTGTGCGTGTGATATGAGTTTTTCTTCAGAAATGATAATTGCAGTGTCTTCACAGGAGCGCGAGGTTATCGGACAGAATTATGCGCATTATGTTTGCGCAATAAGGCAAATAAATAAATAAGTAAATAGGCATGAATGGACATCTCTCGACATTCAGTATATACGAAAGAAAAAGAAAGGAGGAAAAAAAGAAAATAAAACGGAGAATCTATATGATAGAGACGCTTCGTGCTCCTGTTTGATATAGAGACAGAAATTGATAAGATTTAATGCAACGCTCGCGTCAGGTAGTGTGGATGAGTAAATATATGACTTTAACATTGCATAATAATTATACATAGTATGTATAAAGTTACGAAATAAGAAGCATTCTATTATTAACGAATACTATTATGTAAACGTAACGTAATTGCGGAGAGGTTGTTACACTTTAGGCTTGGGCATAGATAAGGGAGAGCATCGAACAGTCAACTCGCCAGTTGAATTGCTGTAAGGGGCACCATCACCCTTCTCGATTCCTTTAAAGCAACAATATCATTTTTTGTAGGAGATAAGAGTTCAATTACATGTAGATAAATATATATATATATATATTTATAACTCCAGAACTGCCGTGTGTTGCATGACGCGAATTACAAAAGAAATTATCGAGCTACGACTAATTATGTGACGATTATATACACCCTCTCTCTACAGAGATATTCTTACCTAAACATAATTCGAGCGCGTTTCGGTTACTCCTTTTATGTATCGTAATCTTTATCTTGACCTGGACTAACTTTTAGCAATGGTTCGTTGACTCGTTGCAAAATAAGTTGGCAATATTTGTCCTCGTCCTTTTACCGTACACAGTGGAATCTGTATTTGAATACTGACGTGTACTCGTTATATTTTTGCCACGCTCATAGCCACACGTACACTGACGTAAATCACACGCGCATGTGTACACACGTACATATACAACTTGAGGATCTTTTATTATTTAATAACTCGATGATAGACGATGATCACTCACTGATTGCTGAGATTACTGTGAGGTAGAGAGGTGACTCTTTTTGCTAGAGTCGGTGAATCGTTGCGATTGGCAGGTCCATACCGCTACTTATTTCGGGAGTTAGAAAACGAAAAAAAAGGGTGAAGAGACATTGCGGTTACGATACCATTGTACCATAGCTGCATAATAATTAAATAAAGGTAATGATAATTTGGATGCGAGAGAATGTCCCACGTTTTAATGTACAAATATTTTCGAATGAGATAGTTAAATAAAACGCAGTTAGATCAGAGAAAATGAATTCGTTCTCGTAAGTAGTGATGGGTTTGATATCTGAAAAAGAAAATGAAAAAAAAAGAACTATGCGGAGATGGCAGTGTGTAAAAGGCTGCTTCCACCCACGGACTAAGATCCTGCTGTATGGAAACCAAGGAGATGGCGGGAGTTGGACCGTTTGTACGTTGATACTTGCGAAAGTATCGCGATTCGCGATTTCTCGATGGTTTGAAGAAAACGAAAATTCGAATATTCTTTTATAAGTACACATGTAACGTGTCCAACGACCGATCGATGTGTCAATGTAATGATGATGATAATGATAATGATGATTGTTATTATTATTATTATTATTATTATTATTATTATCATCATCATGATAATAATGAGATGATGATAACGATGACGATGCGTAGAAATCGTACCATCTCCGGCAGTCTCTGTTAATCTACGGTTTTATACACAATCCGCTATGCTGTATTTACACACGTGTTCGCTTCAAGATAGTAATTTGACGATGATTATTGGCAAAGGACTATCTTAAAGTACAGGTGCCTGAGCAAAATGAATACTTTAGCGTTCATAGTATACTATACATACATATAAGCATAGCTCCATTTAATTTTATTATAATACAATGCCAAGCCCCGTTTGCAACAAGAATACACACACATATACACACACATACACATACATACGTATATACATCCAGAGAGAGACTTGCGTCTTGTACGTCAAGCCCGACGGAGTACGACGGTGCACGTCGCGCTCGTGTACTCGACGCGATTTGGAAAATTCACTCATTGGTGCTAACGGGTCTTACTCAATCAGGCTGATTGCCCACATACCGTTACATCCCTACGTTTGTTAGGTAAGCATGAAAGGAAGTTTAAGACATAAAATCTGGTAATGACATGTGTCTATGATTAAACGTAAACGAACATCCTAGGCTAAGAATTTGGTTTGTGTGTTCAAGCTACTTTTGTACAGGATACCATCGCATCATCTCTTTCAACTTAACAGTAACCGACACCACAGACTATATATTTCTGCCCATTCCATCAAAACTGAAACTTTCATTGTATTTTTAAGTAAATACATTTTGGAAAACAACACGAGATGTTTTTTTATTCTTCACATATATGTGAAGTGAAATATTTCTTCCCCGCTCATATATATATATATATATATTATATATATATATATATATATATATATATATATATATATATATATATATATATA